ATATATTTATTTTTTTCTATTTCGGAACGATGTTTATGCATTTAAAAAATGCCTCTTCATCTCATGAAATGAAATAGCCATTATGAAAATTTAATGAAAAATTTGCCAATAAATAGTTTTTGAAAACATATTTTTGACGGGGCGGGGCGGGGCGGTGGCGGTTTCAATGCTAAACAGGCGGGGTGGTGGCGGTGCGGAACTTTATCAGCGGTGCGGGACGGGGCGGTGACGGTGCGACTTTTTTGCTGACTCGTCTATCTCTGATGGAAATATTACTTTTTTCAATACGTATCTAGTTTCGATATTCTTCTCTTTCGACTTTTCTACAATCAGCTCTACTGTCAATCAGAGTCTGTGGAGAGAGAGAGAGAGAGATCTAAATTTCTAACTTGTATACTTTCGCAATTCTTTTGAGATCATGTTTCAGAAAAAGGTCTTTATAATTGATCGAACAAATCGAAGTCGTCATACTCATTCTACAATTTATTAAGATTTAAGAATATTTTGTATACGCTTCAAATATGATATTATGACATTACTTGATGTCTGATAATGAACTTTACTATTGACTCTTGATATTTATTATTCTTTTATTAGATGCTACAGATAGTATTCTGTTCATTATAGATAGAATCTAAAGATCAACTAAAATTTATCATAGCTGATATGAAAATCGATTTCGAATAATATTAATAGAAATCTTTGACAAATTTCTAATACAGAAACAAAAATTCAATCACTACTATAAGCATACTAAATTCACATTCGTGAATTTTCATTTATTCTCCATTCAACTTACTAAAACCATTTAATTTTTTATTTGTTTGATATAAATCATTCAATTTCATTGGAAGATTTAATTTAAATTGTCGATATTCATAATCAATATGACTATCACTATTAAATGTTCGATTAAATATTAATTTTAATAATTGGCTTATAGCATCTTCACGTACAATATATTTAATTATATCATCTATTTGTTTTGATGTTAATATTGATGAGTGAATAAGATTTGTATCAAGATCAATAATATCATTTGCATCTAAATAATATTTTATTGTTTCAATTGTATCATAAGATGTATGATACATTTCACCGAGAATTTCAATAAATTCATCCAATGATAATGACATTCGTTTATATGTACGAAAACGTATTTGATGATAGTCAGTATCATTAATTATTGTAATTACATCACCATATGAACATAATGTTCGTACTTGTGTACATAGATAGATTTTTCGAATTATACGAGATAAAATAATTGATTCTGATTGAAATAGCATTGTTTTACCATTTAAACGATTATCAACTAAAATTAAATCTAATGCCATACGAACATGTATTCGTTCACGATTGATTGTATAACCTTGTTCTTGTATTTAAAAAAAAAACGTTTTGAGAAACAAAATATATTTATACATGTTTCTTACTTTGTGTTGCATTCATCAGTTCATTAGCTATTTTATTATTTATTTGATCTGAAAATGAAGAAGTTGATTGATCAGTTAACATAACAATACCATTTAAAACATCTTCAATATCTTTCTAAATTATAAATTATATTTATTGTCTCTTTTTTTAGTTAAGATATGAAAAGAAATTAAATTTGACTTTTTTATTTACTGTATTAGTCAATGCTGCTGTCATAGCTTGTACACCATAAACAATTTTATCAATCATTGCTTGTTCGATTGGTATAAATTGATTGGGATAATAGAATTGCTGATATGTATTTTCATATGGTAATATTTGAATTGTTTGATTTTGATTTCTATTTTTTTTTCTTAATTGTTTTGATTGATTTTGTTGATTGTTTATTTTTATTTCATTTTGCAAATATTCATATGTGATTTCTTCATGAATTATAAATTTAAGTATATCTTCAATATCAGCAATTAATTTGTTTGTTTTCTATTTGAAATTATGATAATAAAAATCTATTCATTAGTTTAAAAGAATCAGAGTTATCAATGAGCTGAACAATGTCGGGTATCATCCCTACAATTTTTTGTTTTCGAAAAATCTCATTTTGTTCTTTTTATCGACTCAAATTTTGGACCTTCTTTCATAGACTCATCCTAGCATATTGAAAGTTTTGACATACATACATACTTTATGATTTTTATTTTTATATTGATTATGAATTTGATTCATTAGTTTTGTAAAATTTTCTTCAGTTTTTGATAGAATAACTGATGATGAATCAAATGTATCATTTGATTCCATAGGAC